AAAAAGTCAGTCTACCTTCAAATGAAGTTTTGCTGCAGTTAATTGTTTTTCATATTACGAACATGTATTGAATACTTATTACATGCCAGACACTGTTCCAGGACTGGTAACCAAATTGGATGTATTTCTGCTCTCTTAGAAGTTATTGGGGCGCCTGGGTGGCTCAGTGGGTTAAGCCTCTGCCTTCGGCTCGGGTCATGATCTTAGGGTCTTGGGATCGAGCCCTGCATTGGACTTTCTGCTCAGCGGGGAGCCTGCTTCCTCCACTCTCTCTGCCTGCCTCTCTGCCTACTCGTGATCTCTCTGTCCAATAAATAAAATCTTAAAAAAAAAAAAAAACTTAGTGTGTTAAAAATCTGTTAAATTATTTAAAAACTTCATTTATCTACCACTATGTGTAGATACACATAAACATACTAGATACATAGATGTGTGTGTTTGTGTTCAAAAAAGAGTAATTGTATTAAGCTTAGCAAACTAACTGTTTCCACATGGGCATTTGAATATGAAGCTTTTTTTTTTAAGATTTACTTATTTATTTTAGAGAGAGAGTGTGAGTAAGAACACAGGGGGAGGGCCAGAAGGAGAGGGTCTTCAAGCAGACTCCCTGCTGAGCACGGAGCCCGACGTGGGGCTGGATTTCACAACCCATGAGATCATGACCTGAGCTGCAACCAAGAGTTAAGTGTTCAGCTGACTCAGCCACCCAGGCGCCCCAGAAGCTGTATTTTAAAAGAAGAAAGGAAACTGACAATTTGGTGTATATGTTTTGGGGGTGCTGAGGGAGATAAGAAAATGAATTCAGGGAGCATTAATAGTGGGACAGAAGTAGCAGATGAAAACTCAGAGATAGGTGAATCAGAATTCAGTGTTCTCAGAAGTGATAGTAGAAGAAGCCACCAAAAATGTTAACAGCTTACGCAAAATGGGATTTTTTTCTCTCTTCTAAAAATAATCCAGAACTAGATATTCTAGGACTGATATGGCTCTTCGTGATGTCAGGGACCCAGGGGTCTTTCTGTCTTGTCGCTCCAGAGAGACTGAAAAATGTAATTTTTATCCCGGACAGCCATGTGCCCCAATTAAAGTTAGAGGATCTATCATTAAGGAAGGAGAGAATAAATATATGGGAAATTCAATAGTCCCTACTGTAGTGGTAAAGAAAAGAAGAAACTAATTAATCATGTTAATGCATGGTTGTCAGACTAAATGGAATAGAAAACATAAATTTGAATATGTTGAAAATGTGGACAGGTCATTGAGAGTTCATAAAGGACATAACGAAGAGTATTTGGAGATTTCGCTTCGGTACCACCGGCAACTAGGAACCACTGTAGGCCTTGGAGAACAGAAGGGGTGTTTAGCTTAGTCACAGAACTTTGCTTTCTTATTACTGAAAACAGCTGTTGGTGGAAGATAATTCTTATTGCTTTGTGTAGAAATGAAGGCCATACGAATTGGAGAGAAGCTCTGTAAGAGACAGTTGTTTTCAATCCAGCATCCTGCTCTAGGGTTATTGAAATGAGGGAAAGGTAATGTGTAAAGATAGAATATAGAGAGGAAATGGGGTAAGCAGATGATGTATTGGAGAAGAAAGAGAAATTGAAAGTGACTAACATTTCAGTTAGAGAGGCAAGTGATGGTATTACACAGGTGCATTTCCATCAGGAGGTATTTAAAGACATCTCTAAATTATTTAGTTATATTGAAATGTAAAGTTGAATCATTGCTAGAAATCTGATTCCCAGGCTTTAGGATCTAGAGCTGAAACAGCTGTGCCTAGCTTCTTTGTGGTAAATTAGCAAGGGGACATAGGTACTTTGGAGAAGGTGTTATGCACACATTACTACCTCTATCCCCTTTTTTCTATTCCTACATGTTTTCTCCAAGTTTTAATTGTGATAGGTGGCTTGGAAAGTTTTTGTTTAGGTAATTTTATTGCTTGAAGGAAGAGATGGACTGAATGATAACTATTGTTTGATGTACATGTACTCTTACTGCGAATTCATCTCCATGATGCCATCATTCACCAAAACTCCCTTTGAACATCTTTTTTAAAAAACAGACTGAAAGCTATCACTGGGCATAACCTCCAAGAGAACAGAAATACAAGAAAAACCCTATGTGCACAGTTACAACTCTTGCTTCTCTGAGCTGTAAGCATCAGTGTCGTGCCCTTACCTTAGAGGTGGTAACTATAAAAAGCTATCACCAGAGACACTGCTTACAACCAGACCAGCAAAGCATTAATTCCCTCTGTTGGTCATCTGATCTTCCATAAAAAGCTTCCATTTGCACACTGGTGTTATACTTTGCAATGGAACTTTACTTGTATTAGAGAAGGATTACTTTGGTCTGTGTTAAATGTAGTAGCACTCTATGTCATGGAAATGTTTCCCTAAAAATCATGTATATTTCCTGTTGGACCAAAAGTAAAACTTCAAAGTAGTTGTTATGATTTTATAAGCACAAACTCCAGTGTTAATGTTAACTTCCTACGGTGAACCTTGTACTAACAGAGTTGATGTGGAGTCATACTTGGTGGCCATATCACACACAGTCTAGATGGCAGGGCTTATGGTACAAATGGCAGTTCCTACTAAAACAGCTGCACTGATGAATGTCAAGCAGTGATTTTTTTC